TGATGAGCACTGCTGGTTCAAGTCCACCCTACCACCTTGGGCCAGGGAAAAACATGCCCATGCGCTCGCTTCTGGGAGGAGCCCCCAAAAGAAAAGGATTTTCTTAGAAAGAAAAAAAAAAGTCCAGCCATCCTAGAGATCTTTGTTCCTCCAAGTCCTCCACCCACATCCACACCTTCTGCACCCAAACCCCCCAAAACACAGGCTGTGGGTGGCTCCATGCTGAACACGAAGGTAGATGTTTCTTCCTGCACTCAACCAACAACCTAACTCAGACAGAGAAACGAAATGAGATTCCTCAGTGCCCAAACGTCAGCATCGGGCAGCTCCAATCATGATCATCCACCCTGGACACGCCCCAAATGCCTCCAGGGAAACAAACTGGAGTCCGTTGGTACTGTGAAATACTACACAGCCATGAAAAAGGATAAACCATTATCTCCATGCACCACCAGAAAGACACAAGCTTCACATTGCAAGATTCTATACACACACACATATATATGTATATGTATATATATATATGGTTGATAGATAGATAGATCATATATCACCTGGGAAAAGGCAGAGCATAGGGGGAAATCAGGTCATGGGTTACAAGGGGCTGGGTTCTGACTCAATGGGAAGCCAGGAAATATTTTGGGGTTGAGGGAGTTGTTCCATATTTCCATCTGGATGGTGGCTACAACTGCATATAAACAAACAAACAAACCTCAAAACTCAAAAGTATAGCCAGGCATGGTGGTGCCTACTTATAATCCCAGTGCATGGGTGGCTGATGTAGAAGGATCACAAATCGGAGGCCAGCCTTGGGTGACATCACAAGACACTATCTCAGAGAGAGAGAGAGAGAGGAGAGGGAGGGAGAGAGAGGAAGGAAGGAAGGAAGGAAGGAAGGAAGGAAGGAGGGAGGGAGGGAGGGAGGGAGGGAGGGAGGGAGAAAGGAAGGGCAAAAAGCAACACCTCATCAGAAAAGCAAAAGCACCAATAGCTCTCATCTCAAGTCTGCTGGGCCCGTTTTAACAAGGCTTCCCGCGATCACCACCTCCTCCATGGGCCACCAGCCACCGAACAGATTCTCCTGGACTTATGATGCCCTCCAGAAGTGTAAAACATCGGGAACAGAAACTGCTCGGAACCCCCTGAGCTTCCAGGTCCCACCGCCGGCGCAGCTCACGCCTGTAGCCCCAGCTACTCGAGAGCTCAGAGGTAGCACACCCACTGCGGCATGTGTGAGGCCCGGGACTTACCCCCAAGGGCACAAACACAAAACAAAACTTTGTAAATTTGCTTTCTGATAGGTTTTTCTTTTTCTCCCCTCCCCCCATCTTTTTTTTTTTTTTACTTCAAAATTCTGGGTAACAGATTGTTCTCCACTTAAGACCAAAAAAAAAAAAAAAATTCCCAGTGGAAAAGCCAGGCTGATTCTTATTTCTCCGAATGTTGTTCTTTTAGAAAATACCAGCCAAGCTTATGTCGTAGAAAGATCCTACAGCTCATGTTGTCCTTCTGCCCGCTTATTCTAGAACCTTCTAGAACATTCCATAGTTCAGGACAGGGTGGGATTGATCATGCACATTCCTATTGCCTCAAAAAAGGTGAACACATGTTTCCATTTGGGTTTTCTTCTTTAAGATGATCCCTAAAGCTAGACACCATGGCTCACGCCTGTCATCCCAGCCACTCAGGAGGCTGAGGGGGGGAGGATCACAGTTGGAAGCCAGGCTGGGCAGTTAAGTCCATGAGACTCTTATCTCCGATGAACCACCAAACAAGCTAGAAGAGGAGCTGTGGCTCAAACGAGGTGAGCTCCCGGCTTGAGCATAGAAAACTCAGGGAGAGTGCCCAGGCCCTGAGTTCAAGCCCCAAGACCAGCACACACACACACACACACACACACTAATTCTCATGGGGAGGGCTCAGCCTGAGGGGCTCAGGAATAAGATGTTCCTCCCTGCTGAGAAAGAAAGCCAGGCCCCGTCTGCCACAGGCAAGACCATCTCTGAGTTTGTGTTTGGACTGAAGTTCCGCCATCACGGCCGAGTTCACAGTGCCACACACGGCGAGAGGCCGCTGCAGTCCCCGCCACCTGCAGCCTTCCGCCAGCACCCTTTCTTTCCCAAAAGATCTATTATGCAGCCATGAAAAAGGTGGGAAAACCAGACAGGAAATACACACCACGGGCATCGATTGATCAATTGCTGGGGGGGTCATGTGATCCAGTATTACAAAACGACGCAAAGGTACCACCTTTGGTCACTTACAAAGGTCCAGCGCCAGGCCGGTTGTGTACTTTTTCCAAAGTGTTCAGTGGCCTGGGGTGGTGGGGGAAGAGGGGCAGGAAGCAGAACAATCATCACTTTTGTCTGGGATTGGACTACTGGGCGGGAGAGAGATGTGCAGAGAAATTTCTGGAATACCTGCTTATGATTGATCTCTTAGCCTAGCTACAGGTCCAGACAGAGCTGAGCACATGCTAGGTACTGGTAGCTCATGTCTGTAGTCCCAGCTACTCAGGTGGCTGAGATCTTGGGGGTGGAGGAGGGTGTGGATCATGGTTCAAAGCCATTCCAGGCAGGAAGGTCTGTGAGACTTTGGATTCCAATGAACCACCTCTCCCAACAAAAAAGTGAGAAATGGAGCTGTGGCTCAAATGGTAGAGCACCAGTCTTGAGGAAAAGAAAACAAATAAACAAAAATACAACTCATGCAGCACCCAGGCCTTGAGTTCAAATCCCAGGACACACACACACACACACACACACACACACACACACACACACACACACACACACACCAGCATTCTGGCTCCCTGGCATTTGGCCCTGCGCTGGCCTCCACTCACCCAGCCTACCCAGAGCCTGTGCCTCCTGGACCCAAAAACAGAAGGAAAAACAATCAAATCTCTGTGCTGGGTGAGTTTTTTTTGACAGATTGGTGATGGGGTGAGGCGCGCGTGCCAGAGGGGGGGGGGAGGAATAAAACTCTGCAGAGAGAGAGAGAGAGAGAATGGGGGGAATACAAAAGCACAAACTCATCGCCCAAGTCTGCCCAGAACAAGGATGTTCTCCTTAGGCAAGTTGGTCAAACAAAAGCTCCTGTACCCCAACCTCTCCTCCCCCCTTCCCCCCCCCATCGCGGGGAGTGGGGGCCCGTCACCCCCTTCCCACACCAACAGCCACCAGCTGTGCAGGCACCAAGCCTGCTCAGGGTAAGGTAAGGACATGAACGGCTCTACCTCCTTCTCTTCCTCTTAAAAGGCCCAAAGCCAGGCTCTGAGGGAGGGAGGCAAGAAAGCCCCAACTCCAACAGAAATTGTTCAGCCTCCCCCCCAAAAAATGTGCAGAGTGATCAGAACTCCATTTTACCAGCTTTTTTTTGGGGGGGGGGGGTGGAGATTTCAGTTTTCAAGCAACCTTGGCCAAAAAGATGGACCATTCAACGGCACAAACCCAGATCCCGCCCTGAGGAGCAGCCAGGGACCCAGCATGGGCAGGAAGAGGGACGCCACCCCAAAATAGCACCTCAGCCGGCCATATCTTCATTCTCCTCCAGCTCACACAGATCGTGCACAGTCCAAAAACTTCATCCCCCTCCCAAGAAGACACCGGCCCCAAGCCACCACCGCCACCCCAGAAATAAATCAACCTGCATCCTTAAATAGCAACCCCCAAACCTTAAAGGGCCCGGACCTGGTGAATGAGTACACACCAGTCACACACACACACACACACACACACACACACACACACCAGGGTCGGGGGGCCATGGCTATACCTTGGGGTGAGGGGGCATGCCACCCCATCTTTGCCATACTGAGGGTGGCATTGGGGTGCAGGTGAGAAGCACCGGATGGGGACCCCCTGAAGGGTGGCCAGGAGGCCCGGGGAGCAGGGTGTGGCCCCCCTACTTGGAATCTGGGTCACGCTTAGATAATGACAAGAAAGCACCGCTCACCAGCCCGCTTCGTGCCAGTCGCCGGGCTCTCTACTCTGTGGGTACCTGGAAGCCTGAAAAGGGGGGGTGTATTTTGGTAATATTGCCACCGAGGAACATATGTTGGGGTTTATCTTTTTAACCCATTTTCCTCCATGTTTTTCATTAAAGAAAAAAAAAAGCATTTATCTGCCCAAGATTGGTTCTCGAGGTGCCACTGGGCCTCCCTAAAACACAAGCCAGGCCCAAGGCCCGGCTGCTTCACCCTGGCTTTCTATGACAATAACCCACATAGGACTGTCACAGGCCAGGAGCCCCAGGAAGGCAGGTTGGGCCCGTGGGTCCTGGCACCCCCAAAAGCTGGCCAGCTGTCTGATCAGTGGACCTCCAACCCTCGGCAGGGGGCCCTGAGCACCCTGCAAGCGGGACTCCAGCGGTCCCCAACTCAGGCAAGGGCTCCCCTCCAGGATGTCACCCCAGAAGGATCACAGCGGCCCTGGGAGCCTCCAAGCTTTCCTGGAGGGGGGATCTGCCTGGGTGGGAGGTTGGGGGAGCAGGGGTTCAAAGATCCAAACTCCAGAAGCCCCCACAAGGATCCTGCGTTACCCTCAGGCCTCCATCCCCTTCCGGAACCCACCCTGACCACACTTGGGGTGTCATCAGCACTCAGCACCGCTCACCTTCTCCAAGCCCCCAGCTCACCGCCAAGTGTACCCCAGGGCTCAGCACTGCCAGGATGGAGCCCTACTTTGCTCTACTCCAAGGTGGGGGGATCTTGCTTAACCCCAGAAGACCACCCCCACACACACACACAACTCCCATCGATCCCAGGGTCTCTCTCCAGGGCTGGAAGAGGGAAGGAGGGTTGGAGGGATGGGTGGAGGGGTGGATGGAGGAATGGATGGATGGATGGAAGGGTGGACGGAAGGATGGAGGGAGGGAGGGATGGGTGGATGGAGGGAGGGAGGGATGGATGGAGGGGTGGATGGAGAGATGGATGGAGGGGTGGATGGAGGGGTGGAGGGGTGGATGGAGGGACGGCAGGGGAGGGGGAAGGGGGGCACGGGGCCGGGGAGAGGCGCGGGCGCCCGGCCGGGGCAAAGGATATGGCCATTCGGTGATCTTTTTCGCGTATTTCCTCACCACGTTGTCCTCGCTGAACAGGAAGAGGGAGCGGTTGACGGTGAGGCAGTTCTGGCGCACGGGGATGGGGTTGTACAAGGCCATGGTCCGGGCCCGCTGCGCCATGGATTGCTTGTACATCCTCTGCGCCCCGGGCTGGCCGCCCTGCCGGCTGCCCCCGGCGGCTCCGCGGCCGCCCGCGGCGCCCACGACCACCCCGGCCGCGGCGCCCGGGCCCGCGCCGCCTCCCCCGTAGCGGGCCGGCATCTCGTCTCCGAAGCGAGCCATTCTGCGCGGGGAAGGAGAGGCGCGGTGAGCCGCGGGGCGCTGCGGCGAGCGGAGAGCTGCGGCGGGAGGAGGCGGCGCCGAGGCGATGCCCCCCGGCCCCCTCCCCCCGGGCCCCCCGGGCCCCCCGATCCCCACCCCATCCCCGCCGCGACCCGCCGCGCGCCCGCCCGGCCCCGCACCTGCCACTGCGGAGCCCGGGACCCAGCCCATCGGGCGGCGGCTCCGCTCGCGAGGGCGACGCCGGGGGGCTCGGGGGGCTCCGGGGGGGGCTTCGGGGGGCTCACAAGGGCGCTGCTGCCCGGCCCCAGCCCCGGAGCGGCATCGCAGTCGCCGGCGCCGCCGCCGCAGCTCGGGACATCTTCCTGGCTGACCCCGGGAGAGGGAGGGAGGGAGGGAGGGAGGGGCGGGAGGAGGGCGCGCGGGGGCGGGGCGGGGCCGCGGGGGGGGAGGGGAGGAGGGAGGAGGGAGGAGGGAGGGCAGGGGAGGGGGGAGCCGGGCAGGCAGAAAATAACCCGCCAGGAATCTAAGGCAATCCCCAACCCACCCACGGCGGGGGGGGGGGGGGGGGGGGGGGGAGGGGGATCTGTTTAAATAAATAAATAAAGAGAGAGAGCGAGCGAGAGCGAGCGAGAGCGCCCCAAGGCACCCACACCTCGGGTGCGATGGGAAAAGGACGCCCGCCCCCCTCCTCCCCCTAACACCCCACAAGGCTGCAGCCGTCAGCGGCGCGCGCCGCCGCACCAGGCCGGCGCGAAAAACAACAACCACAGGAATCATCATAATTAATTAATAATCATTTCATTTACATTAAAAAAATTAAAGCATTCAAGATTTTTTTTAAAAAAATGGAATTCTAGGTTTGTACTGGAAAAGAAAAAGAGAGGACAAACCAGAACCCATCCCTCGCGCCCGTGTCGCTCGACTTTCCCAGATCTGGAGAAAGACAGCGGGAAGAGACCGGAAAATGAAGGAAAAGGAAAAAAAAAACAATCAGATCAGAGGCCGGACAGATGGACAGCCCCCTCCCCACGGTTAACAGCCCGGATCACCAGCAGCACCGTAAGAACCACAATAGTAGTAACCGAGCCGCGGGCGGGCGGCGCGCGCCCTCGGCCTCTCCAGGAAGCCGGCAAGGGGGGAAAGGGAAGAAATATTGTGCCTTGCTCCTCAATCTCCCCCAGCGCCTGCCTCTGCCCCCCCAGACCCCGGGAGGAGGTGGGGGCGCCCCACCACCACCTCCTCCTCCCCCTCCTCCTCCCCTTCCCCCTCCCCCTCCTCCTCCTCCTCCTCCTCCTCCTCCCCCTCCTCCTCCCCTTCCCCCTCCCCCTACTCCTCCTCCTCCTCCTCCTCCTCCTCCTCCTCCTCC